CAGAGAGAGAGAGAGAGAGAGAGAGAGAGAGAGAGAGAGAGAGAGAGAGAGGGAGTCCAGATATACCATGCAATGACATCGTCAGAAAGACAAAGAGCTATATTATTCAACAACAAAATAGAGACGAATAGAAAGACAGACGGACGGATAAAGATAATATACAGACGGGGCGACAGACAGATAGGTACGCAGACAGACGTACCCAACAAACACACAGCTAATCAGTTCGTCTCATGATCAAGATAAAAGCAGGTTGTTGTGTAGATGGTAGATAATGCTAATCCCAAAGCAAGCTAATGAACCTCAATTGTAAGCTACGCTAATAATGTTGCTGGATTTAATTAATTACGAGTTTGCGGGTGGATGGAGGGTGTCATTTCGTTGCCTTAGAATTACAAAGTTCTATCTGATCAGTACTTACTTGTGAGAAATCGATTTGACGTGGAAACTTAAAAGTGCCCCAACACGGCAAGCATTTTCGAATGAAACTTTTTAAGTATCTTGAGAGTGACTCTAAACAATCATACTATTTTGATGCAGCGGATCAGATAGAACATTTGGTTTCTGAACACATGGTGTTTAACTCAAACACGATCTCAAATGTGAGATCGGACTTTGTAGTTCTAAGATAGTGACATGAAGGTCCTACTTCGGAACTTTGTGGTGTTGCCCTTTTGCTCTCCTAGCAAGACAGTTAATCTTATCATAATGGAGCTAAGCCTGTTTGTGAAGTCACTACACATTTTTTACATACAGGTGCCCATAAAATCTACAAAAATTCGATCCAGTTAAGAACTATCACAAAGGTTTATGTGGGCATATTTTCAAAGTTCGGAAACTACCTTTTGATTTTTCAATTTTCATGGTTTTTCCTGTAAATCGAAGCTCTCAGATGTTTTTACTCTGGCATTAGCCATTTCATATTTTACTTTAATAATCAGAAATTATGTTTTTTTTTTAATCAAATTTTGCTAAATTATGCGGGGTGCATAAAATCACGGGGACAGATAGAGCAAGACTCTAGATCTCTCAATAGTCTCTATCGTAGATGTAATTGGAGCACAGAAAACAAGACTGATTTGAAATGGTTAGCAAGAACAGAAGTGCGGTTTGTGCTTTGTCGTGTGTGTGCCGCAGAGTTCTACTTGTGTTTACCAAGCTGCTTCTACTTGCACTGCTTCCAGATCTAGCATCTCAATATCTAACTCTGTTTGGATGTGTGCTTCGCAGTACGATGGAGGTCAAACGTCACTGTACTGACTTTGTCTAGATATAATATTTGATATAGTGATGTCCCCAACACGTTGAGTTCTTTTAAAAACACAAAATGTTCACTTCATTGTATTGACGTTTTTATTTTACGTCAGAATCTGGAGTAAGACCTATATCACCGTTCGTAGAACGGGTCTGTATCTTGTTATAGTAATAACAGTAAATGGCTTTAAAATAGCGCATATCCTAGCTCTACAGCAAGCTCTGTGCTTTACGCATTGTATTGTTACCGCAGCAGACCATCGAACTCTCAGAAACATTCTCAGCGTCCAGGGAAGCTTAATGTAGTGCAAGCAGCTGATTTGGAGGTGAAACACTAACAAACTGACACGTTCTTTCGCGGTCTATAGCTAGGTACCTATTCCCACCTGTAAAGTGCCTTTTCCAAGGACACAACGTCGGGCACATGACGGGATTCGAATCCACGACCTTACGGTTCCGAGTCCGGTAGCCTAACCACTATGCCATCGGTGCCAGTTGTTTTGTCCATGTTCTTCTGTTTGTCTAAATAAATAAAGTATGATGATATTATTATTATATCTTTCTCTCTCATTTTCCACCTCTTCTCCCCTCCTCCTCTCCTCTCTCTCT